GGGCACCAGTCATGATTTCTGTTAATTTAAACTGAAAGATATAGTTCTATCCCAACAGTTATGCTTATTAAAATATTTTAGCAGTTTTAACAACATATTGAAAAGAAAACCAAAGTGAAGGATTCATTCTATGTACAGAATTGCATCTTTCCCCCCATTTAATTATAGGTTCAAGTCCTAATCTCCAACTAGGTTGAGGGAATCAGGTGGCTGGGAGGTAATTAGGTTTAGAAGAAACAATTAGGGTGGGAAATTTAAGAGTACAATTATTGTTTTCATAGCAACAGTCCCTTAGAGGGATTCTTTCTTGTCTATCATTTGATGACACCTTGAAAAGTCAGATAGCTGCCAGCCAGGAATGGATTCCTTACAATAATTCTAACATGCCATCAGAACTCCAACCTCCAGAAGAAAAGAAAAATGTAGTGTATGCTTAAGTCTAGGGTTCTTATTATTTCATTCAGAGTTGAGTAAAACAGTGCCTCACAATTTGGCAAGATGATCATCAATGCTTTACATTTTTCATGCACATACTCTGCCCCATCTGGTTTAAGGAACCCCTTCTACCTATAACTCATGTGAAGATTGAAAAACATAAACGATACCCAAGTTATCAATTCTCAACTGACTCTTTGGAAAAGAATGCTTCTGCTTAATAATATTTGAGAAAGAAAACTGAAATATAATACATTCTTTCAAACCTAGGAGTCATCTTTATAAAATTCTGGAATTCAGAATCTTTTGATTGACCAATTATCAAGATCAACCACATGAAGAGCCTTATATCCTGAATCTAGGCAAGTAGCTCAGTTAGAACTTGTGATGGCTGGCAGCAGAAATACCAAAGTAAAACTAAAGTAGTCAGTGTACACCCCTGTATCTAGAGAGGCCAGGCACATATCTGGATCTAACAACAACTTGCTACATTGTTCACATTGTGGTTGCTTTCTGGATCCTGAGTCTCTACATACTGTAGCTGATTCTATGTGGTGGACTTGAGAGCCATTACAGTCTCTACTCATATCTTTATTAGCATAAAACAATTTCTTTTGACTATTTCACAGAAAAATGAGACATGGGGGTTTACACCACCTTCATAATAATGAACTGTAATCTGAATCGTCAAAAATGGTTTAAAGGTTTATTCTTATGGTTGGTGAAGCAGAACTGCCCTTCATTCTGTTCTCAGCATTAGAGAAAAAAATTCACTCAACAGAAGAGTAGTAGAGTTTGAGATCATACTGTTTTTGTTTATTTGTTTGTTTTTGAGAGCAACAAAGAAAGAGAAGTAAGATGAAATTGGGTAGGTAAGGAGAGAGCTATGGAGGACTGGGGAGTAGTTGGGAGAAGGTCAAGAGCATGACCAAAATATATTGTATGAGATAAGATTAAATATAGCTACTTATGTATTCCTACCTCACTAGATAAAATAACCAAAATGTCTTCTATAATTTCATTATAATTATCAACCCCTCCCCAAAATCATGGAAAATGATGTTAATGTAAATATAAGAGTTTTACTGAAATTGCAAGAGAATCATGATCCAGTTTTTTTAATGAAAATAGTTCTCTTCCTTGAAAAAGGGTTAGTGATTTTATATGTGTCTCAAATATCTAGACTTTGTTTTCTAAAATTACATGATTTTCTATGGGTGAGAAATATCACATATATTGATGAAGATACGTGACTATTTTAACATAGGTTAAACTATATTTTCTGTTAATATCTTTTAGATTTTTCATACTTACAGAAAACCATAATGGATTCTTCTCAACTCTATATGTGATGCATATAGATTCTATAAATAAAAGTTACACTGTTAGAAGACAGATATTTACAATATTTTCAACTGTACCTGTACAAAGACCTTTTCAAGAGATTTTCTAAAAAGCTCTTATTTACATAAGTTTTATAGTCAAACTCACAAAGCTCATTCTAATATGAGATTGTGAATGTTTTCAGTGTATTTTAGAAATGCATATAATGCCACTGATAGTATATACTACCAACTCCCTCCGTTGCTCTCCAAATATTGAAGAAATAAATTGTAGTTCACAAATGACATCTCATGGTGAAATTCAAAATTCATGATGTTTTTATGTAATGAAAATGCAGTGTTTGGCTGATATCAGTCAGTAACCTAGGCGTGTCTCCTTGGAGATTCTTGGCAAGCCTTGTATTGCTGGTCCTCCACAGGAACAAAAATGGGCAAGAGCAGTTGGCACTCTCTTCAAGTGATCAATAAGGCATAGTGAGGTTAAGTGACTTCCACTAGGAGGCTTCTGATTTATTGTTCTATGCACAGTTTTTGATTGTGAAGCCATCTTTGGGATACTTGTACAAGCTGCTCCATATTTTGCTTTACAGTGCAGGGCCACATTGGCTATGCAGTTTGATCTCTACTTCTTTTTAATTTGATTCTATGTGGCAATTAAAATAATCCAAACTACTAGAATTTAAAAGTAGGCACAGACAGTAGGTAGCCTGACTTCTCTGCTCCAGTTCTGAAGTGCCAAGTTTCCAGAAGTGAAGCCCTTGTCAAACTGCTCAGTAACATTTGCCTCTCATTTTCCTCAGAACATCAATAACTTGCTCTTTTCATTTTTGAAGTGCTTTTCAAACATTAAATAATCTCATATTATACACTCTGTTCTTTGAATTTATCTTGACCAACTGTCAAGGAAGGCGATTTTATGCCCTCTTCATTTTCTGTCTCTTGGCTTTGTGCAGCTGTGTAGCAAATTTGAATAGAAAATGACAGCTACAGTTTAGTATGCTTTGTGATAAAGGCAACTCACTTGTTTTTGGCCAGATAACCTTCTGATTACTCTCCTATTGTTATTTTCTAGTTGGATACTCGCCAGGTATTTCCATAACACTCGAGCCTTGCTTAGTTTTTATGTGGAAAATTTGACAGTGTGAATGTGAAAACAACTAAGGAGGGTAATGAAATTAGTACATTAGTATTCACGCTATTATTTTCATCTCTTTGAAAATTCTACCATAGCTTTATTATCAGGACGATAAAGGGACTTAAAGTTCACAACTTCTACTAGTTCTTTAAACCCCATGAAATTCTATTTTAACTGTGAACTTTCATTGCTTCTTCAATTTGTATTTTCTCTTTTATTCTTGACTAAAAAGAAAATTTATGTCCCATTTAAAATTTTCTACTTTTTAAACCTGTGATCAAGATTCTAGAAATTTGAGTGAAATCTCTTTAAACTTACACATTCAATTGTAAGACACCAAGCAGTTTGACACGGCCATATCTGCAGCTGAACTGCTTGACTAACTCAAGTGCATCTGAAGTGCAGAAACAATTCTTTAGGACTCATAGAAAGCTTTCCACAGGTTACAATTCTGGAGATTAGCAACATATCAACTTTCGGTAAGCTACTCCTAAACACTCATAATTCATTTACACTCCTGAAAATCATTATTCTGAAGCTTTGATTCACTCGTGGCCTCACTTGGGTCTTAAAACTCATTTCAAAGCACTCCAATACATTCATCCATTTCAGAACTACCATTAGGAGTGATGGGAATTTGGCACAAAAATCAATGAGAGGATATGATGTGAATTCTTTCTAATTTTTTCTTCTTTGAGTACCACTTCAAATACAGTTTATGAAATCTGTTTTTAAAGGTAGTAGTCCATCTTGCTATCATTTCCACTAAATTGAGTTCATGAACTTGAAGCATGCATCTCCATGGTTTTCCTTTTTTAAAAGGAACTCTGGTAATATTATTGCTGGTGTTTATCAAAAGCCACTTTAAAAATCTTACTTAAATCATGTCACCAATGGTTCCTATGATTAACATTTTAACCTTTTGAAAATCTAAGCCTGCATTTACTATCTAAACTAAAAAATTCTTTGTGTAATTATGTTCTATTTGAGCAATATCCTGATATGCACAAGCCTCTGGGTAGTCAAATAATTGCATGATTTTTATTTCTGTGAAGAGAAAATGCCACTTTATGGAAGAAAAAAGTATTCATACTTCATTAACTAAAGTGTTTACTTTGCACACAGAATTTTCATATTTTACAACCAATACTTAAAGAATATTTTATGAACCAAAATTGTACCATAAGGATCACTGTGTACACATCTGTTTCAAGAGACCATACTTTATTTTCTAGTTTAGATGGGTTTCTTATACTGAAATATTTGTACCACTTATTTTATATTACGTAGCTAAAAGTAAATGTAAGTATGATCGTAACTTGCTATAAACAAATAAAGCATACTTAGACATTTAAATCTATCTAGAGAAAATTGGGAAAAAGAACATTTAACAGAAGTTGTTTTTGAATGGTGAGATTGAAAACGATATATTTTATTTTTTGTTTGTTTTTGGAGACAGGGTTTCTCTCTGTAGCTTTGGAGACCTTCCTGGCACTTTTTCTGTAGACCAGACTGGCTTCGAACTCATGGAGATGTTTACAACTTTGCTATCTTATATATTTTGCATTGTGATGTCAGCTATAAATTCTTAAAATCAAATTAATTGATATTCTAAGATCTCCTAACATTACTCTTAGTTCTGTATACCTACCAAAATATAATGAAGTCAGTGAAAAGAAGTTAGGTAATTAAAAAGGCTATCAAGAAAAATTTCACTCATTTGAACTACTTTATCACTAATTTTTATTCTTTCCATAAGAGGATTGTTTTTGCTTCCTTTCTGAATTCTAAGAGACCCCAAATCAAAGGTCATAGTAATAAGAGGCATCTTAGCCCTCAAACTCACAGTTGTTTCTAATAGTGATAATGAGAAATGATACTGGAGATGAAGATGACTTATCACTAAAGCCTCTGGAGCAAAATGCTGAGAATGGGGTAATGTGCAGATGGTCTATGGACTATTGAATTGCACTGTGTAACTATGTTCTCATCTAGAAAATAGCACCCAGGATTTACTGGTCTGTGTTGTTTGACTTCTTACATTTGAAATTAATTTATGAAATCTTATTTTTTGGGTGTGTGACTAGGAAATGCATCTACAACCACAACTGTGATAGACAACAAAAATGGATCTGTGCCCAAGTCCCCTGGAAAGGTACTGAAGAGGACTGTCACTGAAGACATCGTCACAACCTTCAGCTCCCCTGCAGCCTGGCTCCTGGTCATCGCTCTGATAATCACATGGTCAGCTGTTGCTATTGTTATGTTTGACTTAGTGGATTACAAAAACTTTTCAGGTAAGAATAATTGCATTTGGACTTTAAATCAAAGGAAAACTGTTCTCCTAAGGTGTGGCATTGTTTCTGTCCACAGCAACTTAGTGTGTGTGGTACAAATAAAGCCTGTACAATAAAGCTTGTACAAATAAAGCCTGTCTGGAGGTCAGAGAATAAAGCAGGCCACTAGCTAACCCCGGAGGTCTGTACAGACAGACAGGAAGTGAGATGGCTGGGCAGAATGAGGATATAATTGGACAGAAACAGGAACTTGTTCCCTTGTCTGCTGATAAGCTCAGAGGTTAGCTGTGGCTCTGGCTTGCTTTTTCTTCTCTCTGATCTCTCAATGTTTTCCTTTATATCTGACTCCCAGTTTTTATTATTTAGACCAAGTAAGAACTCCTTTTACAAGTGTGAGAAATTAAATACACAGAGATGTGCTGGGCTTCACTGGAGTCAGTTGCTTCTATTCCCTTTCTTAATATGTTGTGTTTGATGATTTGACAATGCAATTAATGCACTCATCTTTAAAGCTTCATGAGGGCTAAATGCTGCAGTTTCATAAACAAACAAACAAACAACGATGATGATTCAAAGCCTGGTAGTCATTTATCTTTGAAAATGAATTAATCAGCTATGAAGGAAGAAAAACTTGTGGATTTTACACTTGACAAGATAAAGTACAGAGTATATTAAATAATTTTGGATGAACAAAAAAGACATTTGGAATTATTTCTAAGTCTTACTGACATGTAGTCTCAAGTTTCTTTTCCAGACACACCCTGCTTATCCTACCGGCCTGCCTAATCTCAGTCTCAGAAAGTAGAGAATATAAAGATGATTTTCCCTGAGTTCCTCATGAGATGTTACATCTTGAGTGTCCACATGTTCCTTACATGTTTGGAGAACAACAGGGATAATGCATATGAGAAAAGACAGATTTTCATTGTGGACTATTCAGTCTTAGAACTCAACATTCATCTCTTTGTTCAAAGATATTTTCGGTTTTGTATGCATCTATCTCCACATGTGACACTGAACTTACATTCTCTACTGACTGTGACATCCTGGAAGGAAGGAATTATTTGGGTACTCAGCACAATTCCATAAGTAGATGAATGGATTTTATGCCCATTACTGTTTACCGATAGCAAAAAATATTTCATTATCATCTTAATGTGCTCTTCAAACGTTTTATCTGCTCCCTTGTTTTCTCTTTATTTCCACCGGCATCTGGACACTGAGAATTGGAGTCTATGGATTCAGGAATCTTATCCTCATGGAATTTTACTCATTCAATAATTGCTTATCAAGAAACTACTATTTGTAGGATAATTGATATGCTAGAGGAGGCAAACTTGTAACGTAAATATCCTAAAGGCATAGATGTCTATTATTTGAGTTTATGGACACAGAAGCATGACTAACATACTTTCTGCCTGCTATATCTTTGGTAGTTGGACTATGTTTGGCATCATTTACCAGAGAGATAAGACCAAAATACCAACCAAATAGAGCCATAGGTTTCCACTCTAAAAGGTAATGCATTTACGTATTCTTTCATATGTTTTTAAAGAGAATGCAGTTGCATTGTCTATAATTAAAAATGACAGAATTTTATGTGAAAAATATTTGGTTATAATACTCCAGAAAACTGCCCTTTTGCTAAATCTAAATCGACTGCAGAATTTCACATATCCTTTCCCTTAAAACATAATTTCATTTACTTTAACCTCAAAATGAAATATGACCATAAAACATAGTTAATTCATTTTATAGTATATATTTTAAAGAGCTCTATGCCAATCTAATATCTGTAAGTTAATTCCACAAGCAGACACAGAAATTTATTCTATAAAGTACTAAGCTATCTTCAATTAGATTTTCAGATAAAATATTGGATATATTTTCCATGGAACTATTGTCATCATGAGCTATGCATGGTTACTGGTTACAGGCATTTTATCCGATAGCTAATACTTCAGTAAGTCTTCAATATGAAGCACAGCTTCTCTGTGAAGTTTCCTCCTTATGATGCCTACATTTATTAATGACAAAACCAGCTAATCCCACAAGAAAAGCCTGCAGTCAGGTTTAAAGTCTCATTAGTTCCAGGGAATTCATCACAGCCTATGCTTTGTAAACACAAATGACTTATAAATCTTAACTTTCTTATCAGTGGCACCATGTCTATTATTGCACTTCACTCTTTTCAGGGAACTTAGGAAATTTTGTACCATGTTCACCAGTCCTTACTCAATAGTAGATCCCTGAAGACATCTCCATAGTGTGAGTATCTGAAAAAGTCATGTTTTCCCTGTTGCCCAACTACATCAAATACCTTGTATGAAATTCAAGTCCTTGGCTTAACTCTTCATTTTGTCTAAATTTTGTAATTTAGTGCACAAATCCAATTTCTCAACCATATTTATTTCTGTTCTTGCCTATTCATCCTAGGCAAACACAAACTTCCATTTCTTGTTGTCCATGTACAATGGCATTTCCCCAGCTCCAGACTCTGGTAGAGTAAGCATAATATTTAATTGTAAAAAATGGGGACTCTCATGACTCATTTATTTGCTATCTTAGACCATGATACTTGATAACTCTTTGATAATGGGGAATATATAGCTACTCTCAGCCTCAGTTTTTATATCTACAAAGTGAAGATTTTGAAAAAATATCTATGTGATGGGATTATATAAACGAATACGTCTAATGAAGCTGCAAAGTCCCTCTTTGTCATAAGTACTCCATTCAGTGAGTGGAAATTTTTTGTTACTTCATGACACATACCTTCTTTTATGAGGCATTCTGTTATACCATAAGAATAACACACTACGATATATTTCCTTTCTTCTAGTATTGTCTAGACACATCTATCTAGACAAATTAGTACAATGTATTGGAAATATCAGTTGGCTTGATTGTATCATGCAGAAATCTAATCTTTTTCAAGGAAAAGATTGTTTTATTCTTCTCTGTGTGAACATCAGACACATGGGAAGTCTTCTGGGGAATATTACTTAAAGTAATACATAATTCTGACATTTTTGAGATTGAAACTACATCTTACATGATGGAGAAATGTACATATATGCCGAGTGCTGGTGGCACACACCTTTAATCCTAGCACTCGGGAGGCAGGGACAGGCAGATCTCTGTGAGTTGGAGGCCAGCATGGTCTACAAAGCGAGTTCCAGGACAGGCTCCAAAGCAAGACAGAGACACCCTGTCTTATGATGTTTTTAAAACAACTGATAAATACTTCATTGTGTCAATGTAGCTCATCGGCTTTATCCATTCTTTGGCTGAGGGATATCTGGGTTGTTTCCCACTACTAGCTATTATGAATAATGCTCTATGAACATAGTTGAGCAAGTGTCCTTGTGGTATGATTGAGCATCCTTTGGGTAAAAAAAAAGGTTAAAAAAAGAGTGGTATAGCTGAGTATTGATGTAGATCAATTTCCAATTTTCTGAGAAACCAACATATTGATTTCCTAAGTGGCTGTACAAGTTTTCACTCCCACCAGCAATGGAGGAGTGTTTTTTTTTTTTTTTTTTTTTTTTTTTTTTTTTTTTTTTTTTTTTTTTTTTTTTTGTTCCACATCCTTACTAGCATTCTAGCATTGCAACTTACACCTGTGAGGATGGCTAAGGTCAATTAGCCAGTCCTTAATGACTCTTTTTAATGATTCATCACAAGAAAAATTTTACTTCAATAAAATATTTAAATAATGAAAACTACTTTTATATTTTCAATACTGTTTTTAATTGATATAATTTAAACTTTTACCAGGAATCATGTATCTCCATGAGGACTCTTTTGTACTATCCTGATATATTTTGAATATATAATTATTAACATTTCCAAAACACAACTAGCAGTAGAAGGAAGCATGTTGAAGTTTATATTGAAGGCCAGAATGATTGCCCCTGTGTCAAGTTACTCTCTTGGGCATTGTAACAGTTGATAAATATTGTGAAACCATCACAGTGGGTTCAAAGAGAAAGGAAAAATTATTTCCATTAAACACATTTGTACTGGATTAATGTAGAGAATTTCCAATCAGCAACTTTCTTAACTTCTGATTTTCAGAACTGATCAGATTTTCCCATGTATCCAATTCATGCAACACATAAAAATAACCTTTACACTGAGTAGGAATGTCCTTTTCCTTGTCTGTGATAGAGATAGTATCTCACTTTTCTTAAAAGTTCATTATTTGGATTATTCACTATAATGAAGACAAATTTTAGTACACTGAATATAAATAGATTGAGAAAGTATTTAAGATCTTCTTGATTTCTTGCCAAAATGCAACAGCTGAAAATTTTTCAAAAAATCTTTGGTTTTGTCTGTATGTGTTGGAAGCAGTGGAAATACTTCACCTGTACAGAGCAGGGATTATAATAGTGTTGCTTATGATTCCTTGGAGGTGACTACATGTGTTACATAGGGCTGTTGAGGGTGTCTGCTGTTGAGTGGAAAGTCAGTGTGCTGAGAGTTGAAAGGGCAGATGGAAACAAAGTGCAGGAGATTAAGGCCAGATTGTAACCTTCATTTGTTCCTTACCAGCTCAAGTGGAAATAATTTAGGTGAGTTATTGGTAGTGAACTGCTGTGCCATGCTTTAGAGATGTGTGAATGAGACAGCCCAGCAGGAACCAGAAACCAAGCAAGATGTTGCTACATAAGAATGGCCAAGATCCTGGGGAAAGTGTGAAAAGACAAACCAGCACCAACCTTCAGAGGGCAAGCAGTGGCTACATCACATCTTACATTCTGCCCTCCCCTTTCCAGCTCCCAACCGTTACCTGGAAATTTCTATCTAGGGAAATTTGAGGAAATGTAGTTCTAGTTAACTGATTTCAGAGGGGATCAAGCCTACACTTGGGATATCTACATAGCTTAATAATCCAAAACAGGATGCTCTTGAGAGAGAAAAGGAACGCTTTTAGTAGTTACAAGACTAGAAAAGCCAGAATTCAAGATGTACAATCACCCTGCTGTTATGTT